AATAACTCGTTGTATTAAATTTTTATTGTCAATTTTTTCTTGCCAGCTTATTGTCAAATTTTTATTTTTCATAGTTTTTATAGAAACGCACTTAAACAAATGAGATAAATGTGTGATATATGTATTTTTGATCTATAGTTCACTTAAGTTGCTCAAGAAATATATCTTCAGATGAAAATTAATTATTACGTAGGCTAATTAATTTTATTACAACAACAACAACAAGCCTTATCTCATTGGGTGAGGTTGGCTACATGAATCACACGATGTCATCGTACTCTGTGTCAACAACCCAATCCTTAGATATATTGTTGACTAAGAGGTCTCGTTCAATGATCTCATTAAGCGTTCTTTTCAGTCTTTCTCTGTCCTTTTTTATGGGACTCTCTCTTGTCTAATTAATTTTACTACATTTAACATTAAAATGCAAACCAAAATAATGTATTAATTAAAATATAAATTAAATGACCATCATATAGAACTATTCAATGCGCTCCTCTGACGTTTTTGTTTAAACCAGACATTGCACTGCGAGTAATTCTGCGTAGTGAGCCTCGAATTAAGGTTTGACGTACTAAAAATGTCCTAGCTTGTTTTATTATAGATTTCTTCTAAATCAAAAGCCCTTACGGAAAGGTTAAACGAAATTTAAAACACTAATAAAACATTATTCGAGACTATTTGAACATGCATAAAAAATCGTTAATTAGAAGCAATGTGAATTATATAATATAGAGTTATTTAATTAAAACTGGATAGAGACAAACCCTTCAATACGCTCAAGCCTTGGCCAGATTACGAACAGAAAATTGGACCAGATAAACACATCATTTAGATATTGTATCAGATGTATATAAGTGGTTTTTAAAAAAATTGGATAGAGGAAAATCAAGAAAAATATATCTGAATAAAATCAAGAAAAATATATTTAAATATTTAGCTGTGTTTTTTTTACCAAATAAATATTCAGTGTTGTATAATTCATATTGTCGATTTCACCTAATAAAATATGAGAGTTGTTATTGTTGAATAAAACACGTTTTCTTGTGCATGATGACATAATAACGGGTAATATTAAATGAGAAGACCAAAATATTCATATGGTTTGGATTCTCTTTTAAGCAAAAATGATTCTGCATGGAGAGGAATTCATCCAAGACTTGACAAGTCTTTGTTCACACAGAATTATCTATGAGAAAATATATAACCTAACCCTATCAATATAGTGTCAATTAAGAGTTTGTTTAATTTAATTAGTATGATGCAATATTGCAAAAGTATTAATACCACTTCAACATTAATTATTTCTTATTTTATTTATTCAACTGATTGATCATCTTGAAAGTGGGTTACGTACATATTTAAAAATTGAAATTACTTATGACAGAAGCCCTCTCAATATGTGCAAATAATTCGTGTATTTTGAGGAAACAATTAAAATGAACTGATGTATTGTATTTATAATTAAAATAAATTACTTATTTAATCCGCATAATCAGAACTAAAGAGAGTATTAATTTTTTCAGTGCTCTGCCCTTGTGATCCATTGGATTGAATATTCTCAATATTTTCGTAAGACTATAAATATACTGCAGTCTTTTTATGCCATTAATTTTCTGACCCATTTGCAATTGATTGCGCAATGAATCTGTTTGGTGCAAATCTTTTATTTTGTCTTAACATCTTCCTACTTCATTTATCATTATTTTCTTCATCATTTACAATAATTAATGTTACAGTTTGGTGAATTGACTGTGTTATTTCCAACCTACGAACATTATTGACTGGGGCCAATTTATATTAAATTATGTTGCGATAATTATTAGTAGCATATTAATTGTGATACTATATATTGCTCTGATGATCAAGGAAATGAAGCATTAATCTTCATGCATTAATTAATTAATTACGAATTAGCTACTCCCTCTGTTCCTTATTATAAGAGACGAATAACCGAATTACGTTAATAAAAAAAACAGTTAAAATTAGTTAAGAACAATCAATGTGTAAAAAGTATAATTTTCTTTTCAAAAATGCCCTCATTAATAAGGATAGAGAACAATAGTAAATTATTAAAAGAAAGAGAAGTGGGTAGGAGAGAGAGTGTGAGTTGGAGATAATAAATATGGGTAAAATAGGAAATCAATACAAAAAAATAGAGACAACTTTTAAGTGTCTCTTATATTTAGGAACATGCTATAAGTATCAAATGTCTCTTATAATAAGGAACGGAGGGAGTATATCAATTACAGACTTTTTTTGTTGTTGGTGAAATTACAGACTGTGGTTTTTATTAGACATGTAACTAACGGGTTTCGTATTAATAAAGCAACTAATGTATTTTAAGGCCTCAAGCTTTTGCTGACTATAATGTACAGCGCACACACACCCCTTTCATAACAACTTCCCTGACTAGGTTATATGCATATTAGCCGGGTAGTTTCTTCATTTTTTTAAAATAAAAATATCAATTATATTAAAATGATAAGGCTTGTACAACTAGAGATGAAGTAATGAGATTCACAGAGCGAGTAATTTCTTCATTCAGACAAGGCAGGTTTACTAACAAGTTTTTGGTTGAAATGGTCAGTGGTCTTATTATTATAAGGAGAAGAATACAAGTTCGAATCACAATAAGCGTACTTGTTAGGAGGACGTTACTCGACAAAAATTAATTTCAAATCTAAAATAATTTTGGGAGACTCTGGGTTTGTACTAAAAAAAACACGACAGGTTTTGCGAAGGAGGGTTTTGGTACACCTTGGTTTTTTTTTTTTTTTTTGCCAGTAATATTTACACACCTTGTTGAGAATAGCTTAGAGCAAAATTCAAAATTTAATATGAGAGTAACTTTTTCTCAAAAATTTTAAGAACGCATATCCATCTGGGAATCAAATACACATTAGTATAGTCACCGATGGTTGGATGAGTAGAAATGATTTATAATGTCTTTTAAATTAGATCGTTGGCTTAAACGTTATAATAAATGAACAAAATCATGACTCTCGATTTACCCTAACAATACTCAACTTTAATTTATACGGTGACCACACACACACACACACACTGATTCCAGACCAACTCGCGTTTAACTAATTTCATGGAGAAGCAAATATGGTTGGCATTAAATATAACCATAGTATCAAGTAATTTTAAATCATATGAACTCATGGAACGTGGATAAATATTTATTTACGTGACATCAACTAGCACCAATTTTAATGTTCTACCATGTGTTTTAAATTCTGATTGACGAGACATCTATCGAAACTAAATATTTATTTAACTATGTAGGCATAAGCTTATTTATCGCATTACATAAATTATTTTATTTTTTATGTCTTATTTATAGTTCTGTGTTATAGAACATTATTCAGTTTATCGAAACAGTAACAATTTCAAAATAAAATGTATTATATAAATTATACTCCTTCGGTCTTTAATATAGGACCCAGTTCTTGAGTTGGTCTTGGTCCTAAATATAAGACCCATTTATCATATTTATCAATTTTCTCTAAATTACCCTTATAGATACTCTCTCACCCATAATCAAGTAGAAGAGGGAGAGGGGGTATTAAGAAAGATAATTATGATATTTTGGGAAAAATGTGTCACTTTTCTTATAATTAACTAACTTACCTAACTTCCTTAATCTAATTAAATTAGTTAAATGGATCTTATATTAAGGATCGGAGGAGTAACATTTTTCTTTCCATGGGACACACGCACACGCCCAGAGAATATAACTAGACTGGGCTAAGCGGTAAAAAACTTCCTAATTAAAAAATTAATTATACACGGATACTCAAGGGCTCAAGTCTGTGAGCGGGTGCACATTTATGGTCTAATTATTGAGTTTTGTGCAGATGTCTTTTATTTTACAAATAAATGAAAATAACTGAAGAAAACTTACACGGTTGACACCCATTGAATATATGTTCCGCTTGACTTCTTAAACAAATTTTAAGGATCTCTAAGGAATTAATTTCTTGATTAGAGATTTGACCAATTTTTTAAACCTGCAATGAGTGTACAACATACTGCCCTGGTTTTTAATATATAACTGATTTTAGTTCTATATGTAAGATTTATTTTTTATATTTATTATTTTTTAAAATTATTTTTATTAGTACTCTTCAACTATAATCAAATAAGAGAGGGAGTTAGGATATTAAGAAAGATACTTATAATATTTTAAAAAATATGTCAGATTTTTATAATTAACTAATTTATTTAGTTTTTAAAAATTTAATTAAATTAATTAAACGAGTCTATAGGAGCAGAAGACAAAAAATACAAAGGACAGAGCGATACAGCGGAGGGGGAAAATATCGCGATGGCGATACGATAGGAGGAAGAGAGAGAAGAAAAGGCAAATGGGGGTATGTATGGAGGGGACAAGTGCTGCTCACGCTTTGAGAGTGTGTGGTACTCTTGCGCCCAGGTGCACCAAAGTTCTTATCGTAACTCCATAAAAAGTAAAGCATTGCCAAAGTTTTATTTAACTCTCCATGCGCCCTTTATTATCAAGAAAAGAAACCCTTTGCTAATTTGCGCCGCGGGGGTGTTCCCTACGCCCCCTCCCCCTCGCCCCCCCATCAACCCCTGCCCGTCAGTACCACGACAAGCCCACTTCCCAATAAAAACACAGCAACTTTCCACCACCGTCAAGACCCACGCCGTCACTTGCTCCCCCGGTCCAATGCCTCCTCGACAACACTCCCCGGGCTTTAACGCCGTTTGTACCTTCTCCGTTGGAGCCGCCTTTATTTGTGATCTCATTCCTCATCGTCTGCTTTTTTTTCTTTTCAAAAAAAATTTTCTCACTGAAAGAGAGGTTTTCTGTGCTATTACCGGCTGTGGCCGGTCATTCTTACTGGTTAATGCCGGTGGCTGAGCACGGTTAAGGATTGACCACGGTTGAATTGTTTGTACACAGTTTTGACCACTCTGGTTAAGTCTCCCTTCGGCCTACACAGGGACAGATACTGTAAGTTGTTTCTGGTGCAGATAGCGTTTATCTTCTGAGAGAGGAAGAGCGACAGAGTCCGTAAAATATTGTGTTCCTGTAATCGCGTGGGTCAATTTAGTGGTCGATTGGAGCAATAGGTTGAGAATTGTGAAGCGGCGTTCGGAATTGTGTGGTGTTTCTGCTGAAGAAGCCCTCTTCTGAGCGTCGAGGCTCGGTTTTTGATTGAAGGTGGTGTATCTGCGTGTAGCTTGCGGAGAAGGACGGGAGACGAGGAAGCAAGAAAACTAAGGCCTTGCCGATTTTGAGAGTTTTGGTATTTTGGTTTGGTCATCTGGTCACTGGTCCCCGTATTTCTTGCCGGCTTGTTTAGCTGTGGGTTTTGGACGGGGGGGAATTCGTGAAGGTATCGGTCTTGGTCTTGGGATGTGATATCACCTCGGAATTGTCTAGAAAGTGTCTCAGATGACAGATCTGTGCTGAGATATCAGAAAAATGGCATCACCAGAGGTATCGATAAAGGGAAATGGCGTGAACGGGATGGGGGAAGGCTTTTCTTCTGGTTATAGCAACCATGACGATGCTAGGAACGGTACAGAGGGTCAAAATGCTCATTCATTAACCGGGAAAGGTAATTCTAGCGAATTAGTATTATTTCCCCTCAGAAATTTGAGGTTCTTCAAATATTTGGAATGGATGACTGCCTGTTAACATTTTCCCTCTGCCTCACAGAAGCAGAAGCTGCACTTTACAGAGAGCTGTGGCATGCATGTGCTGGTCCTCTTGTTACAGTCCCCCGGGAAGGAGAGAGAGTCTTTTACTTTCCCCAAGGACATATCGAGCAGGTGATTCCCTAACGATTTCCGAGCCTCGGATTTTTCGTCTCCTGTTAGTCGTTCTTATTATCCAAATTTCTAGTTGCCTTGATATGATTTTCGCAATGTTTATTATTATCAGAGTTCAGACGGGTCACGACTTCTAGAGTCTGACTTCTGGCCCTGATTTTTTTATCATCCCCTTGCTACTTAGCGATGTATTTGCGCCGACATATAGCTTCAAGGCCTTTTTTTTAAATCAGCTAATTTACAAGAATTTTATTGAGGTTGCTGAGCATCTGTGTTTGTTTTCCTGCCACATTAGGTTGAGGCGTCCACTAATCAGGTGGCGGACCAGCATATGCCCTTGTACGATCTCCCTTCCCAAATCCCGTGTCGGGTGATCAACGTGCTGCTGAAGGTAACGATACTTGATCTATGCCGAATTATCTATTCCGAAGCTTTTAAAGCAAGTGACCTTTATAAAGTTGTGACTGTTGAATGTTCCACATGGCGACTAATTTTATTTTAATTTCTTTCGTGGAAATTTCAGGCCGAGCCAGACACTGACGAGGTGTTCGCCCAGATCACCTTGGTTCCTGAGAACAGTGTAAGTTCTAGACTTGTCCAAGCCCCTAGGATCTGGAGAAATTATCACAAATATGGTTCTCATATATTTTTACTTTTTAAATTTGATTTAAATGCCAGGAAGGTGAAAAGACCGTGCAGGAGGAACTTTCACCGCCGCGATTTCACGTGCATTCTTTCTGTAAAACCCTGACTGCCTCTGATACCAGTACTCATGGCGGCTTTTCGGTACTGAGACGACATGCTGACGAATGCCTACCTCCTTTGGTGCGTATCACTTTTCCCGCGCTCTACAGTAAAATATATCTGGTCAAAACTGATTGGGATTCTCTGCTTCTCTGTTGACAGGATATGTCTAAGCAGCCACCTACCCAGGAGTTAGTGGCAAAGGATCTGCATGGCAATGAGTGGCGATTCAGACATATCTTTCGTGGTAATTACTCGTAATTGACAATTCATCTGGTAATTGTGGGATATGCTTGGTGGTGAATATTGAGTCAATGCCTACTCTGGAATACATGCTGCTGAGAATTAACTTGGTGTCCAGAGGATTGAGACCCAATCTGCACTTCAATTAATATTTTTTGCTGTTTAATTTGCTAGATAGCTCGGCATCGTATTTGCTGTTATCTTTTCTGATGATTGTGACTGGTGACAAAATCTTCAGGTCAACCACGTAGGCACTTACTGCAGAGTGGTTGGAGTGTTTTTGTCAGCTCCAAGAGGCTCGTTGCAGGGGACGCCTTCATATTCCTTAGGTTTGTATGCTTGGAATGGGGTTTTAGACTGCGCTAGTTTACTTTGCTTTTCTTTTTTGAGATGGGACTAATTAGGAACGTCCAGGGGCGAGAATGGGGAGCTTCGTGTTGGTGTCAGGCGGGCAATGAGGCAGCAGGGTAATGTTCCATCCTCAGTGATCTCCTGTCATAGCATGCATCTCGGTGTCCTTGCGACTGCTTGGCATGCTATCTCAACTGGCACCATGTTCACTGTTTATTACAAGCCTAGGTTTGTAGCTCACTGTTGAAACTATGATTATATTAAATCTTTTTAGCAGTTTCAGCTTGAATGCATCATTTTCTGGTGTTATGAATGTTACTGTTCATGATTATGTGATTGGTATTAGGGCGTATATTTCAATTTTCCATAGTAACATTCATTGTACTTCATATAATTTGCTGTAGGACAAGTCCAGCTGAGTTTATTGTTCCATACGATCAATATATGGAGTCTCTAAAAAATAACTACACAATAGGGATGCGATTCAAAATGAGGTTTGAAGGTGAGGAGGCTCCAGAGCAAAGGTATGAACATTTAACGTTGTCTTTTTACTTTTGTAGTGCCTGATTCTAAGTGAAGAAAATTCCTCTCTTGTAGCATCTTCTCTTCTGCTTAAAATGTAATCCGTGAAAGTTCAATTACTAGAATACGAGTTAAAAGTGGAAGAACTTTTTTGACATAACCTCTTCAATTGTAGGTTTACTGGTACCATTGTTGGAATTGAAGATGCTGATCCCAACAGGTGGCCGAATTCCAAATGGAGATGCCTCAAGGTTGTACTTGCAGTTTTTATCTTGCAATTATGTATGACTTTCAAAATGTCACAAGGCATAATAGAGTTCCATTTGTATCTTCCAGGTGAGATGGGATGAAACATCTAATATACCTCGCCCTGAGAGAGTTTCCCCTTGGAAAATAGAGCCTGCTGTTGCTCCTCCAGCTTTGAATCCTCTTCCAATGCCCAGGCCTAAGAGGCCTCGTACTAATGTGGTTCCACTATCCCCCGACTCCTCTGTTCTTACTCGAGAAGGTATGAATGACTTACTATTAGTGTACAGTCTTTTAAAAAATATTATGCATTTGCAGTCTCATGAAGTCTGACGTTTTTGTTTGGTGGTGGTTGGGATGGGGGGTTTAAATATGCAGCCTCATCTAAAGTAAGTAAAGACCCTTCACTGGCAAGTGGGTTTCCAAGGGTCTTGCAAGGTCAAGAATACCCGACCTTGGGAGGCAGTTTTGCAGAAAGCAACGAGTCTGTTACTGCAGATGATGAAAAGATTGATATGGTTTCCACCTCAAGAAGATACGAGTCAGAGAGCTGGATGTCAATGGGGAGGCATGAGCCAACGTACTCAGATCTATTGTCACAATTTGGAGCCAGTGGAGATTCTTTTCGACCACCCGTGGCTGGTCAGACTGGGCCTCTGGCTAGTCCTGCTAAAAAGCATTTGAGGGAACAGGATGGGAGGTTTAAGGCAATGACCAATCCATGGCCTCTAGGGCCCTCTGGTCTATCACTAAACCTCCTTGACTCAAATATCAAGGGTTCTGTGAATGGTGGTGATGTAACATATCATACCCCAGGGAATGTGAGGTATGGTGCGTTTAGTGACTACCCTGTTCTCCATAGTCATAAAATCCAGCAGTTACATGGGAATTCGTTGATGCCGCCACCAACTTCAACACCATATGAGAGTTCTCGTCCAAGAGAGTTGATGTCAAAACCAGTCTCAACACGTACAAGTGAGTCTGTCAAGCCAAAAGATGGGGATTATAAGCTCTTTGGCTTCTCACTTATCAGTGGCCCTGTTACACAAGAGCCATCTGTATCCCAAAGAAATGTGACTCGCGAGTCACCAGGTCACATGCATCCTGCATCTTCCAAACTTCATGAAAGTGATGATAAATCAGATCAATCGAGGGGCTCAAAACCAGCTGATGTGGCTGCTGACGAAGACCCAGAGAAGTCATTGCAAGCTTCTCGTGCACATCTGAAAGAAGTTCAAGCCAAACTGCCTAGTGGTTCTGCTAGGAGTTGCACTAAAGTAAAATATTCTCTCTTTTTTCTGTATTTGATAATTTTTTCCCCCCATAAAAACAGAAGGTGGGATTTAGAAAACTAATCATCAATTCTCAATTCTAGGTACACAAGAAGGGAATTGCACTTGGTAGGTCAGTGGACCTCACAAAGTTCAACAACTATGAAGAATTAGTTGTTGAGCTAGACCAGCTGTTTGAATTTGCTGGTGAATTGATGTCTCCTAAAAAGGATTGGCTTATTGTCTATACTGATGATGAGGATGACATGATGCTTGTTGGGGATGATCCATGGCAGTAAGTACCATTAAATTATACATCCACTGAACGTTTAACTGAATTTTATGGTTTATCTATACGGGGCCTCATTTGCATGAATTTACTAAATGCAGGGAATTCTGTGCCATGGTTCGCAAAATTTATATCTATCCCAAGGAGGAGATTCAAAAAATGAACCCAGGTACACTAAGTTTAAGGAATGAAGAGAATCAGTTGGCTAGCGAAGGTGCAGAGGCCAAAATTGGAAGTCAGTTGCATCATTTAGCTTTGGTGCCTGATAATTCGTAGGTTTGTTTTCTGTAGTTTCCAGGTAACTCTGCTCCTCTGTTTCGTTTGGATTTGATGTCGTGGTCTCTCTAGATGACCTTCATTTTTCATTTGCAACTAGTCCATTTTATTTTGTTGACAATTGGAGATTTCGAATGTATCCTAATTTGTGATTTAATTTATTTTGATTCTCCTATTTAGGGCTGGAAAAGTGGGATCTACTGAAAAGCCATCCAGTCGGAGATAGGATCTGAAGACGGAAGCCGTGCTGTGAACTGACGAGGGACTAGTTGAATCAGAATATGGATAGCATGAATTTATATATCCATCCGATTTTTGGACCCATCTTGGAATTAGTTTAGTACATCTTGTGCGTCGAGCGACGTGAAATATGGCCTTGAATTTTTCAACCCCCCTGCCTTGTAAATAGCTGTTCCGCTACCCCCTCCCCTCCCCGACCCCACCCCAGCCCGCCCCATATGTAAGTAAGTTCATTTATGTGGTAGGTGCCTCATTGGTAACATCCAGTTTATCTGATTTTGATGTCTTTGATTGAGGATTGAGATAGAGTAGTAGTATTTATGGATTACCGTTTACAAGGTGTATATTTTTATGCTGCCTATACAATTTTGAAAGGCTTAATGACATTTCTTGTTTTATGACCTTGCTCTGTGGCGGATGGAGGATATTGGACTATTGTGTGGGGAAGGTGCAATGAAGGAAAGACATGTCCGTGCCAGATGCGGAGAATACTTGGCCATTGCGTCTCTGCCTTCATTTGCCATGATTTGGGTCTTCAACTTCACTGGCCCAAATGAAACGTATTTTCTTGACTAAAAACAAAGCTCCTTTATTGAGAAAGAGAGGTTTCCGTTGAATTTGACGGGGACATTTGTGTTGATGGTTAGTAGTTGAAGATTCATTGGTTTTTAACGCCTTTGACGAAGAAAATGTATTTTTTCAAGAACTTAATTTAGTGGCAGCAACGAAACAGTTTGAATACTTTATTCAAAGTCGTACATATTCCTTGGTGCGATATCCCCGCGGTTTTGCCCGATTCTTCAAATTATGAATGTCTTATTTTGTTGTGAATTATAATTTTAAAAAAGGTAAATATGGTGTAGAAGTGTTTTTATTTGGTTGGTTTTTTTTTTAAAAAAGAAGTGATATCTAATTTGGTATTTTGTAAATTAAGTCAAATAATAAAAATGTTGTATGGTATTTTTTTTAAAAAAAAAGCCGTTAAACTTGTTTAATACATTTTTGTTATTGGTTGCTCAATATTTATTATTGTCAGTTTATAATTTATTAATAAATAACTTATTATTAGTATATTTCTTGTTTTTTTGCTGCTCAATTCTTGTTATTTTCGATCCACAACTTGTTAATAAATTTTGGTATTTTTTGTCATTTAACTATATTTGTAAAATACTACCTCCGGTCTTAATTATAAGAGTCAGTTGACTAATTTGAGGAGATTAAGAAAGTAAGTTGAGTTAGTTATTTGTCCTAAATTGGTGTTGTCTTTCCTAAAATATCTTTGCTAATCAAGTGTATTGACTAGAACTATCATTGTTAAAAGGGTTATTTTAGAAAAAAAAATATAAATATGAGAAATAAAGTGGATTGGGGTATTATATTTAGGACCGAACTAAAAGTCAAATAGAGTCTTATATTAAGGACCGGAGGTAGTACTAGATTAAATATCACTTCCTCTCTTCTCAATTGAAATTTTACAATTTCTAGCTTTTTTTTAAAATGTGATTTTTTTTCTTTTTATTGTAAATTTTGAGTCTTATTTTATTGTGAATTATAAATATGATAATTGGATTAAGAAAATAAACATTTTGAATTATATGCATCAAATCTAAATGTTTTAAATTATTTAAAGAAAAATATCAAAAAAATAATTGTTTCAAATAAAAAATTATTATAAAATATATTGTCATTTTTTTTACGATATAGTAATCAATACTGATTTAAAATTTTAAAATTTAATAGTCATTTTTTTTTAGATTTTCTTATTATTTAACTACATGAGAATCCTTATCTTACAAAGAATTTTAAAAAAATTGTTACATTATCCATAACAATGCAACTAGCTAAAAATTTTAAAATTGATTTTTACAGTGATACTAGTGATGAGATTTCGAATTGAGATGATTCGGGCTCCTTATACGCTCCTTACATGGGCAAGCTTGGGTCCATTAAAGAGGGAACCCACTAAGGATTGAGTTGGCCCAATAATTCAACAACACAAACTACTTTTAAAAGCAATCAAAGTCAATCAAAGTTGATGTAATGGAAGGAATTAGTCCCTCAAAGCATCTCCGTTTCTCTTGCACTAATGGAAGATCATCTTCACATGTAGCGTGGGGGAAGGGGCAAGGTCTGCAACTGCTTTGTGCTCAATTGGTTCCATAACATGAAAATCTTTCTTCAATTAAAACACATGCGACTACATACCATTCATAGTTTATTTGTATTCGAAGCGAGAAAAAACTAACAAGTATCTGAGTCGAAATTGCAACTTGATGCCCAGGGAAAAAAAACCTAACTCGGGGAGGGGGTGTTAATCTTAAAAAAAAAAAAGAAAGAAAAAGGAGAAAGGAGAAAAGGAAAGGAAATTTTCAACTAAAAGTTTGTATCTTTGCCCAGATGACCTAGATCCCGCCATGGTAGCCAGCTGACTCCAACAGTACTGCTTTGATTTGCTCCGGATGAAGAAGGTCTTCAGCTTCCTTCCATTGCTGAAACAAAGTGAAGGTTAGTTTTTATGGCCATCACAGCAAGCTTAAACACAACCACGTTTTCTGGTTCAAGATTGTCTTTAGAAGCTACATAAAATGGCATCTTACGCGTCGCTAGAAATATCAGGGACAAGTTACATGATGATGAGGATACCAGGTTGATACGTACGCAAACAATTATGATAGTATCTCTTCTCGTACAAGGTATATGAAGCTCCAGATAGACAGGATACAAAATTCACTAGTGATCAAACAGGTTGAAACTGATTTGTAGGTATTGGTAATAATAGGAGTCATACCTCAGCTCGAAAGATATCCATGGCAAATCCATTAAAACAGCTAATAACAGCTTGATGGATGTCTAACCCAATGCTGTCCAAAGCCTTCATGGTTGAAAGCAAGAGGCCAGGCTTGCGACCACAAAACATGTGAATATTTACAGCTTTTCCTTCGCGCATCCGAACCTCAATCTATGTACGACGTGAAAAAATATAAGTTACATGACAACATTAAGAAACAGTTATACTAGTCTGTGCTGGTTAAAATAAAGTCGTGAGATGTGACCCTGCTAGTCAACAAATTAAAAATTCTAAATTTGGTGGCAGGATAGCAAGATCTTCTCATGAACACACACAAAGAAGGCCTTTGGGAAACCACATATCGCATGTCCCTTAAAATATATCATTATGGGAAATGTAAGATCGGTAAAAACCTATTTATGACATTCATCAGTTATTCACTTCATTTTTCAGATATAACCTGATGCTAAAGGTGCTCACTGTACCACATAAGAGAATGAGACAAGGTGTTATTCATGAGTAGCGCCTCTTGATATGAGAGGCGTAGCATTCAATGAAATCAGATGAGGGTTTTTCGATCCGTCTTAGGTGCCTTTGTTTTTTAAAACAATAAGAAAAGCTTATTAACCCAACCCAAAAATGTAAAAATACTACAAGCATAAAATAGGAAACTATAAAACCCAATCTCAAAAGCCCAACCCAATCTTTTAGATTTAAGGAATCGAGTATAATAGTAATTCTTATCCTAAGACACTATCTAGACTATTAGGCTTTCAGGATTTTGTAAGCGAACACAAAAACGCATAGCCATAGTGGACTTCAGCCACACTAAAACACATGGTCAACAGAACAGAGAATGAAGCAAGATTCTAATATATTATGGTTGTAGTCCACTGTAATCATCAATATTTTCTGTTTTCTGTAACTTCTTGCCTAAGTTGTTTAAAGATTCAGAAGGTTAAGGGTTAAAGGTGCCTTTGGACTTTGACTGCTTTAAAGGCAAGGGCAAAAGTGGTCATTCGTAGCAAAGGTTTATATCACCTTTAGGTGTTGAATATCGATTTTTATTCAGATATTATACCATGGTGGCATCTAGGTATCGCCATATAGTCACATAACAACTGACCCAACATAGGCATCAAATTAGGGTATCCAAGACAAGAGAAGCAAGATGTCAAGACCAAGAACCATTTCATTCAACATCCATAATTACATCTATAATCTATTATCTCATTGTAAAATCTGAGACATTAGTCCCCACCATTTACTTGAATTTTCAGTAATAACCCAATGCAAAAGGTGCATGTCCTAGCACTTAGACAAGGCGTTATTCCTGGCTAGCATCACTCACATTATGATTGGTGGTGCATTCAACCAAGGGTCATAAAAATTTTCGATTGTTATTGGGCTGTGTTTCCGCTGCGTAAGTATTTGAAAACAATAAAAAGAGTAAGTTTATTAGCCCAACCAAAAATATAAAAATAGTATTAAAATAACATAGAAACTCAAACCCATCCTCAAGCAAGTCATATAGGTTTAAGAATTTTTTATTTGAAAAAATTATTTTAAAAGATTATTTAGGTTATTAGATTTTTTTTTTTTTTAAGGTTTTGTAAATAAACACAAAACAATGAAGACATCATGGACTTCAGCCCCACAATAATGCAAATGATCCACAAAACAAAGAAGATAATTGATGATTATAGTGGACCATAACCACACCATATTCATCATTAGCTTTAGCGCGCTGCTTTACTTGCATGTGCGCCTTTCTAGCACATCTTGCCAAAGCTGCATTTGAGATTCAATGCATTAAGGATGCCTTTTGCCCTTGACTACCTTTAAGGCAAGGGTAAAGTCGGTAATTTGTAGCAAAGGATTATATATATCACCTTTTAGATATCATCAAATATCAACTTTTGTTCGGATATGATGCCAAGATAGTATCTAAAAATCACCATATAATCATATGACAACTTATTAAATGTCGGCATCAAATCTAGGCATCGAAGACGACAAGGAAGCAAGATGTCGCGATCGATACATCCAACACATCCATGATTACACCTAAAATAATCTATTATCTGAAAGTAATGGACAGGGAAAAAAAAAACATGCATGCCATTGATACGTCCACGATAATATCAGAATAGACAATACTTTACCCTTGCAGGTTGGCCATTAGGGCTTGGCAATGAGCTAGGGCAAAGTTCATCCTTTATACGGCTGGGTAATGCAGGCGGAGTAGGTGTCAGAGGATGAAAGCTGGGGGCAGGAGTACTTAGCGAAGAGCCAGAAGGAGTTGACTCCAATTCGTTATTGATGGCACTGATCTTTTGTATAAGTTCTTTCAGGTACTCAATCGCATCCCCAAGGATTGAAGCCCTGTCCATCTATTCAAACAAAAGCATGTCAAAATATTCAAAATTTTGAAGGCATGTTACAGAGGATAGATCTTAGGATCTCATGTTAATATATATTGGGCAAAAGATATTTCACAAAAGAAACAACAAAGAGGAAAAACTTAGATCAGATCCAGTGTGAACAAGGTGAAGTTAGATAAATAGAACTACAAAATATAACATCGCTCAACCCTCTCCAGCTACTATGTTACAATTATCTTGGACTAAATCAGCAGCTTCATTAGCAGTCCTGCAAACCAAGATCAAAGAGAAGTACAAAATATATTGACAGATAGCTATGCCGATCTGCAATAGAACAAGGACAATTAAATAAATTGCACCCAGATCAAGTTGGGCGGTATCAAATTCAACTCATTTGAAAATAACCTGTATATGTAAGTGAGAACTTGAGGAAAAAGGAGTCAAGTAAGCAGATTATCGACTTCAAATTGTCTTGATGAATTAAAAATTAAAAACAACCAAAAATATGAAAGGCAGATCAAAGAGCACACAGTAAAAATAGATACTCTCTAATAGCATCGGATGGGATCACAGTTGGCTCATCAATTAAGAGGAAGAAGTGGGGTAAAATTCTTACTTTGCTAATCTTTGGAACCACGGACCTCAACATATACAGTCTGTCATTGAGCTTCTTCCGACGACGTCGTTCAGCCATCAAATTCTTCGCAGGCATTCCCTTCTTCTTCCCCTTCTTATCGCCACCATCACCACCAGTCACCGCACTGTTCACATTCGAACTGCTTCCTCCGTTCTTGCCGTTCTCATCCGTCCTCGTATTCTCAGTCAACTCATCGGAGTCGTAATTCAACCCAGACCCATCAAGGCTAGCGTCTTCTATTTCTTCCCAACTACCCATCTTCCTCTTCTTCTCATTCCCCTCTCCAATTTCACTCTTTCCTCCGTCTCTCTCTGAATCGTTATTCGCTAGCTTCTTTCGAAAAGCCACTCTCTTCTGAAACAGAGTGGGTTGTGCTCCGGAAGGAGGTAATGATTCAAGGGGTCTCAAAATCTTGGGTCTATTTAGGAAGAGCGGTTTTCCATGACCTTCCTCGAAACCCCGAAAACCCGAAAAACCGATTTCGGTTATCTGCGATATATCTGACATTGGGACTTGTGGATCTGAGCATAAATTAGGAAGGCTTATCTGGTTGTTATTTGAGCCGAAATCGGTGAAGCCTCGCAGAAGGCTAGAGCTGGAAGCTTGAGGCTCAAGAAACCCGACATCGCAACCCGCATCAAAACCATGGTCTAAAGGGTTGTTACTAGGGATGACATTGAGAAGAGATGATAAGGTGGGTTTCGGAGGAAGAAAGTACGGAACCTGAGATGGGTCGAGATTGTTGAAAACGGTAGTAGATGGGGAACACGAAGATGAGGAATCTACTGGGTTCAGCAATAAACTATCTTGGTCAGCGAAGTTGGGAGAGAAAGTGATGTCTCTGATAATTTCTGGTTGATTTTGGATACCATTGTTCGCGATGTACCAATCGTCATCGATTTCAAGCATGGGTTTGAGAGCACATAGAGAACCCATCTCGTCCTTGTTCTGGACAAAACCAGAATGGCTCTGGTTTTGGTTCGTGTCGATGCTGATGTTGGCGTTCACGTTAGCCCATGAAGATGGAGCAGTAGAGTCGCCTCCTTCTCTGTTTTCGTCCATCCAAGCGACGCCGCTTACTCCAGAAATCATTGTGAAATTCTCCAGTGACTGAAGCTTCTGGCTTTTCGTTCGGGAAGAAGATGAAGAAGAAGAAAAATTGGCTGAGTAGCTGAAGAGGGGATGGAGAAAGAGAGAGCTTTTTTTTTTTTTGGGTGACAGAGAAAGAGAGTTTAATGGAAGCGGACGTTGCAGAAGGAAAAGGGCATTGGCTTTTTGTAACTTAATTATCAAAGGATTGCGACAAGCAAAGCATTGTCTGCGAACGTTACCAGAGCACACAGCTTCTCACATCCAGCGAGAAATTTCCGTGCAAAAAGTGTTTTCTTTTGCCGATAGAATTCTTGTGAAAAAACAGACACTTGATATTTAATCCGATACTTTGGTTAAAAATATAAGATACTCTTCTGATCATTAATATAAGATCTATTTAATTAATTTGATTAGATTAAAAAAATTAGATAAATTAGTTAATTATAAGAAATATGACACGTTTTTTCTAAAACACTATAATCATATTTCTTAATACCCATCTCCCTCATCTACTTGATTATGGTTGAAGGAGTATCCATAGGGGTAATTTAGAAAAAATTGATAAATATGAGAAATGGATCTTATATTTAATATCAAAACTAACTCAATAATTAGATCCTATATTAAGAACCAGAGGAGTATTAATTTATTTTATTCTTAAATAATTGTATATATTAAAAAAATCACTTTGAAGGAGAGTTCAAATTTATATGATTAATAAAAGTGTTTTAGAAAAGACATTATCTATTTATTATAAATAATTAACTTAACTAATTCTTTTAATATTTGACAAATTAGTTGTGCAGTTCTTGTACCAAGCACACCACGTATTATTATATATTTATAAAATTTTAATTAATCACATTGTTTATAGCTTAGAATAATATGCTAATTTTTAAACTCTGGGTAATACACAGACATTATCTTCTGTTGGAAAGTAATATCAGCGAAGCCATTTAGAATTACTCCTCCAGTCCTTATTATAAGACCCAATTTGACTTTTTATGTGGTCCTAATTATAAGACCCAGTCTATTTTGTCTCTTATATTTATGTATTTTTTCCAAGATAATCCTTCTAATAATGATAGTTTTAGCCAATATACTTAATTAGCAAGGATATTTTAGGAATGACAACACTTATTTATTATAAATAACCAACTTAACTTACTTCCTTAATTTCCTCAAATAAGTCAATTGGGCCTTATAATTAGGACCGGAGGAGTATAATATTTAGTACTTGATAGTAGTAATAATCTATAAAAAAGCAATAATATTTTTTAATGTTAACTGTAATTTTCGAGATCTCTTAATATATGCTTTTTTTTAATCAATATTAATATACTTTTTTTTTAATCAAGAACCTATTTAGAATCATCATAGTTTGTTTATTAAATTATATTAAGTGATTTTAAGAACTTAAAGTTTTTTAATATTTTCACTTAGCAATTCCACAAAATTTGTGAGCCTATTAAGTTTTAAATATTTTATGTTTATTTAATTTATTTATCTATTTTCTCCCAAATTTAAGTACCAAGATAAAAAGCAAATTTTCTGGAAAATCTACTTATATTTATTCTATTTAGAAGAAAATGCAGAGTAAAAGAAAATAGGCAATGGATATGATGGATGGGGTCAAGGCATTGTATTCTCACCAATGTTTGCGTTACTCAAGCCGACATTCTCGCTTCCGCTTCGTCCACCACTGCTCACGCGGGTCCTTCCCTCTAAGGCAGAACGCTCCCATACTGATGCATTTTTACATTCCACAGCTTCGGCAGGTCGCTTAGCCCTGTTCATCTTCGGCGCAAGAGCACTCGATCAGTGAGCTATTACGCACTCAACTCAGAAGGCAGGGGCGAAGGGTGATGAAATTGGGTACTTCGTTGTAATTTTGCCGAAAATGAAAATGGAGACAGTTAACGATGGCCTGAACGAGTTTCATTTTTTCACTTAAAAAAATAGCTGTAAGGGTGAAAGTTCAACGGGGGTGTGAATGAGTTTTAAAAAGATGCAGTGTACAAGTAAATAGTTTCTATAGTATAACATTTGAGTAATTATTTTTACTGTTTAAGCATTTTGATAAAATTACCAATCTTTAGATGTCATTCTTCTTGGTCAATAATATACTACCTCCAATCGTAACTATAAAAAAGAGGTTTTATAATTAAGATCGGAAGTAGTACTTATCATGAAGTCATGTACAACTCAAGATTGGTTTGCCCATTGCTTATTATAAGATAATACTTATATCAAATTTCTTATATTTATTATGTCAAGTTCTTCAATTACATATGATCATGTGTCCTATTTTTTAAAATATTAGTATTTAATAACATTTAATCATAAAGTCACATAAAAGGGGAAAAAAAAGGACGTATAGCCATATATAATTGGAGAACTTGACAAAATGGATATACTCTCTCAGGTCCTATACATAAGTTTCGAATAATCGAATTACGTTTAATGAATTAGCAGTTAAAATTAGTTAAAAATAATAAATAAGTCAGAAATATATTTCCCTTCAAATATGCCCTTATTTATTAAGAAAGTAAATGAGGTAGACAATAAATAAAAAAAATATTGAAAGAGAATAAATGAGGATAATATTAATAAAAGACAGGGAATACTAAATACAATCAACTAAGGGCAAAATAGAAAAAATTAAAGTAGTAAATGCTCAAGCAAACTAAAAAATAAAGCTTATATTTTAAACTAGATCTTTCTCTAAAAGTGAGGCTTATATATAATACTGAAAGGAGTAATAAAATTACTCCCTCCGTTTCTTATTATAAGAGACATTTGATGCTTATGGCATGTTCCCATATATAAGAGACACTTAAAAGTTGTCTCTATTTTTTTGTATTGATTTCCTATTTTACCCCTATTTATTTTGTCTCCAACTCATACTTTCTCTCCCTCCCACTTCTCTTTCTTTTAATAATTTAATTGTTCTCTCTCATACTCTCTCTCCTTATTAATGGGGGTATTGTTGGAAAAAATATTATACTTTTTACACATTAATTGTCCTCAACTAATTTTAACTGTTTTTTTTATCAACGTAATTTGGTTATTTGTCTCTTATAATAAGGAACAGAAGGAGTACTTTGTTATGGTTTTATCGAATTTAACAATAAAACTATAACAAAGTATTCTTCTGGTTCTATTTATAAAGTACTTCCAACATATTTCATACAGAAAAAAAACTTAAAATGTATTAACTCTCAATTAAAATATAATAACTTTCTAATTTTACTCCTATTTAGTATACATGCCTTTTAAAAAAGATAATAGTCTACACTATAATAAATAAAGGATAAAATAGTATATTTATGTTAAAAATTTAATAAAGTGACTTATAAATAGAATTTAAAAAAAAAGATATTTTCTCTATCTTATAAATAGGACTAAATGAGTAATTCATTGGCAACAAAATGGGGACTTGAACCGAGAGAAACATCGCATAAGGTAAACTTTGATTTATTTAAGTGCATGAGAAAAAGTTCTCTGAGGAAAAAAAAAAGAAGGGAAAATCAAGCTCGCATGTATGCGTTTAATAATTTTACTAAAGTAGCAATCTTAAGCTATTAAAAAAAAAGGAGCAATTTTGATTGGAGAATTAGCATTACATACGTAAATAGATGTTTTTTTGGTTGTTGTTGTAATTCTTGCGCGACTCTCAAATGATTGAACCCATGACTTTTGGGTTAAAATAAAACAAACTCTGAGTCCAACAAAAAAAAAAACAAACAAACTCTTACCAACTGATTTAAGAGTTAAATGTTATAAAGAAATGGCTTTTATTAATATGCTTCTTTAAAAAAAGGCAGCGCCTTAAAAATAGCACAAGATATAATTATAATACAAAGTAATATTACTTTTTCCCCCTTAAAACGTAAACTCAAACCATTTCAACGTGATTTCAAATATCATGTTAGTTATAGATAGCGCTGGGTCATAAAATTATAATATTATAAATCGAAGATAGTAAGATAAGCATGAAGAAATGGAAATGAAGCCAGCAATGGCGGCTTGTAATGATGAATTGGACACGTTGATGAAATAGAAACTGATGTGACGAGATCATAGAAAGAGGTTACCATTTGTGTTTTTGGCTTCAAACTGAATTTGCAGTTTCTCTGCAAAAAGCTAAAGAAACTTCCGTGAAACGAACGCTCACCTTTGAAACAGCAATTTTGTTGTTTTAGGGCATACATAAATTAAAAGGCTTGTTTTCAGGGAGCTCTTTTTGGCTTTATTTCAGTTTTGGGAAAACCATTGGTCTTTTCTTTCCTTCGCTCCACTCTGCTTCTAACATTGGACATATTTGGACTCCCATTTTACATTATTGACACTTCCATTTCATGTCTCTCTCAGTGGCTAAGGAAATGGGCGCAATGGCTAACCAAAGTCAATTTGATCCCATCTTAGGAACATTGATTGGAACTATGGCATTTAATTCTTCCGTATACACAAAAAAAAATATTTTTTTTACATAACGTTACAAATTAATTAAAATTTAAATCATTTATGCAGAATGATTACTGTTAGGTCTTTTTCTTCCGATCCACAAGACGAGCATTTATGGTGTATTAAAAAAAAATAGAGGCATTTATTGTGCTGCACAGTATACCCATCTCGTGGTCCAGCATGGTGGATCCATTTGTCTTCTTTTGACAAATACTATACCCTTTCCTGTGTTAACATTAATTAAACAACAAGGATTAAGGTAAAAAATGCACATAAAATTGTTTTCATATGGATGCCCAGCATCATAAAGATTCATGAAGTTTATTGAAGGGGGAAATATACATGAAATTTCAAAGGGAGGTAAAAATACCCAAACTTTTTTTCTTTTGATGTCAATTTTATTCAAACCTAAATTAAAAAAATTATATAAAGAGACCGACCAATCATATTTAATTAATTTGAGCAAAGGAACCAAAAGAAAATTAAAGGCCAATAAACACATACTAAAGATAACAAAAAACTATACGCAAACTTTAACGGATACCTAACATTCGATGAGTGCAGAATGTGAGTCCTACATAATGCGTCGAATGTAAATGGGTTATGAGCTAAAATACCCATAATTTATTATGTG